GGCAGTTAGCATAATGGCTATGTCGCTGGACTCCCACGTAGTCGACCATGGTTTGAGTCCTGGACCTGGTGGCTTAAACTCACACCGGGCACGTGTGCGTGCGTGCCCAAGATCACCCCTGGGGGGTGATTTCTCGCTTTCTATCTCTCTCTCTGTCTGTCTGTCTGTCTGTCTGGCGAGCGCACGCGCCCTACAGCAAAAACCTCTTCAAAAAAAAGAAAAAAGAACTTCATACTCTTCTTGGGAAGGTAATATAATAACACAAACATAACATTATACTGTTAATACTGGGGCCGGGTGGGGCAGTGGTGCGGGAGGTCATCATGGCTACGGAGCCCACGGCTTCAGAGCTGGCAGGGCCGTCCCTCATGGATCGTTACTTCACCCGCTGGTACAAAGCGGATGTCAAAGAAAAACCCTGTGAGGACCACTGTATACTACAGCACTCCAACAGAATATGTGTCATCACATTGGCAGAATCTCACCTGGTTCTTCAAAGTGGAAAAATAATTAAAAGCATTTCTTATCAGATCAGTACCAATTGTAGCAGGCTTCAGAACAAGGTCTCTGGGAAATTTAAATGGGGGGCACAATTTCTAACAGAATTGGCACCTCTGTTTAAGATTTCCTGCTCAGATGGAGAAAAATATACCATATCTAGCTGTGTTAGAGGACGGTTGATGGAAGTGAATGAAAATATTCTCCATAAGCCATCTCTTCTTCAAGAAAGGCCCTCCACCAAAGGCTACATTGCAGTTGTGTTACCCAAATTTGAAGAAAGTAAAAGTATAACAGAAGGGTTACTGACACAAAAACAATATGAAGAAGTTGTGGCGAAATGCGTTAATGCCATCACGGCCACGTCGTGAGCTGAGATGGAGTGAAAAACAACATAGGAGTCTTTTTATCCTTGCCTGGCCCACACCATCAGTGTGAGGAGAAGACCCAGTTTACGTGATGCATGCTTCCTACCCAGCCATCCTTGAGGGACGCCTGGGCCTACACTTCATCTAGTTTCCCCCCTTTGTCTTGTGTAACAAGACTGGGTTACCCTTTGTCTTCAACCTCCTGGATCTGCCCAGTCCATGTACTCCCTGGCTCTATTCGTGTCTTGCATCTCTTTAACAACTAAACAAGCAAGGGATGTTTTCCAGTTAAAAAAAAAAAACAACATTATACTGTTAATACATAGCACATGATGAGTGTTAGGTTTGAGATGATAGATCACTGATGGAAATATTTAGCAGTGGGTTAAAGCTGCAGGATTACAGTTTGAAAGTGCTCCATGGGACTGGGGGCAGGCACTAGAGAATCATAGCATAGAACAGAAGAGTGAAGCCACAAAAATGGGGTCGCACACTATGCAAGATGATGATGACAGCATTTAGAATGAAACTAAGTTAAAGAGATACGATTCCTTCTATATCCTTCTAAGTATCTATTACTCTTAAAAGAAAACAACAACAACAACAAAAACCTGCATTTCAGGTACCAGGAGGTGGCCTGGTGGCTAAGGGTGTTAGACTCCCACATGGGGCCAACACGATTGAGTACCAGACCTCAACACGATTGAGTACCAGACCTGGAGGCTTAAAAGTAACACCAGGTACATGTGCATATGTGCCCAAAATTCCAGGAGGAAACTGAAGGAGAAGGAATTGAGGTGTGGTATTTCCCCCTGGGGGATGATTTATCACCTTCCCTCTCACTGTCTGTCTTTCTGTCTGTTTGTCTCTTTCCCCAGCAAGTGCAGGCACCTAATGGCAAAAACCTAAAAGAAAAAAAAAAAAACTGTATTTCATAGTCACTAATGAATCTATGTACCTAAGTGATTCCCAACAATTTCTATGACTGCTTTTAATATCGATTAACAAACACTGCTGTAATTGGTCACTGTTTAGATATAATGTTATCTAGTTTATGAAAGAATGATTGCTGAATACATATGTGAAGGTCATCTCTTTTTTTAAAAAAAGAATGATTTTATTTAACTTTATTTATTTATTTATTCATTCAAATTTTAATTTTATTTATTCATTTTTAATTTGACCAGAGGAGGAGAGGGAAAATGAAAAAGCAAGCCACCAGGTCTGGGACTCGAACCACAGTCCGCCATGTGGGAGTCCAATGCCCTTAACCAGCATACCATCTGCCAGCCCCAAGGTCATCTCTTTTTCAGCCTTTAATGGCAAAAAAGAATGCCATTTTTCCTTTTATTTCAAGACTTTAAATCACAATATTACTACTTTAGAGATGTCCTTGGGGTCCCTAAGATAAACTCAAGGGCCGGCAAGTAGTGTGGTTGTTAAGTGCGCTGTGCTCTGGACTCCCACATGGCTGACCGTGGTTCAAGTCCCAGACCTGGCGGCTTGCTTTTTCACTTTCCCTCTATCTCCCTCACTCTGTTGCTCTCTGGCCAAATATGTATGTATGTATATATATATATACACACACACACACATATACACACACACATGCGCACACACATACATATGCATATGTGTGTGTATATATAAATTTAAATACTTCTTTAAAAAAAAAAGAAACTGAGATACTCCTTATTAGATGAAAAGCCTCCCCTATATCCAGCTCCTTTAGTAAGAAAAAGGAACTCCTGAAAAACCTATACTTTCAAAATGTAAGAAAAGTTATCATCTAAATCTTTAGAGACTATCTGGTAGGTGTCAGACCATACGCTAAACATTTAAATTGTACCTTTAATTCTGTTTATGTGTTTGTTGAGGTGAGCGGTGTTAAAATGGCAACTAGTAGTTCATTGCTCATTTATTTCAAGAAGTATAAAGACCCCCAAAGTTCAAAGCCCAGCTCCCCTAGTGGTATGAGCATGAGTAGGTTAGTTCACTTCTCTGAGCCTCAGAGTTTTCAGTAAAATGTGGCTAATACCATCAACCTCAAAGCAGTGTTGAGAGGTTTAAACGATACAGCATGCCTGGGACATGACGGATTACAGTCAATAAAAAGATATACTTTTCTTCTGCCATCCCTTACAATGGGTTTGGACCCTCAGAAAATGTAGCACAGGGGCTGTGCCATGGCACAGGTATAAACTGTGATGTTCTGAGGCTCACCCACAAGGAAGCATTCCAAGTTTACATCCAGAGACCTCCCTGAGTATACTAGGCATACAAATGCCCATGTTCCGGGACTGGCTGAGGCGTGGGGTAGATGGCAATATCAAGATCCCACTGGGTACCCGCAGGCGGC